TATCTTGTTTACTGCCCAACCTTTCTCCTACCAGTCCGAGAGGGTACTATTTAATAATGTTTGCTTTCAAAGAGCAGTCTTGCCTCAGTGACTATCTTAGGAGTCTGATTTCTCAAGACCAAGCAGCAAATTCATGCCAGTCAGGAGAATCTTTTCTTTGAAATTTCTCTGATCATTAAAAGAATCTTCTCTCCAATCTAAAAGGAAGGCTGTTCTTTATAAGGCCAGTTGTGTGTATGGGGAATTAAAATTGACTCGGCAGCCTGTGCGCTCACATATTAGGCTCGGCAATTATAAAGCAGTTCTAGATATCTCATCGAACAAACTGAAAGAAAAACACAAGGAATTTTTGTTACTGATATAAACACAATTATATGTTAAAAGCATGTTAATTTTACATAGGAGCTCCTAAAAAAACCATACAAAGGCTGACGGAATCAGAAATTTTTGTGGTATCTTCTATGAAAAGTCACAATGTGCAAAAGTGGCAAATAATTAAAATCTTTAAATTAGTATGGTTTTAATAACCAGAGGTATGATAAATTACAGCAATTAGATTTTTGTTTTAAACACAGTACATGATAACATCTTTAGCAAATCTGCCCTGGCATTTTCTGGCAATATAATTTTCCTCTCCATCTCTTTTATGCCAGTGTGAAATGAAATTAAAAAAAAAAAATCCTACTATTTCATTATGTGGCATCTCACATTTACACTGGAGCAGAGAAGTTATTCTATGGTTTTCTTTTCCTTTTATGCACGGAGTTATTTTTAATTAGCTGTGTTTCTCAAGCATAATTATTTCTATCTTTCCTTAAGTGCTGCATGATTCCACACAAGGCCTGGTATTCTCTGAACAGTCATTTTGTTTTTAAAGTTTCTTTCAAAGCGTTCTTCTGTGTGAGAACCTACCCTCGAGCATTCTGTTCACGCAGCTTTGGACTCTGAGCCGCTGGGATTAATGTGATAGATTTTCTTCAGTGTCGAGAACAGACTTTGCCCTGGACCAAACCTCAGCTGGAGTTCTCTTATTTCAGAGAATTAAAGGTATATTAAATTCATTCCTATTTAAACTATCTCTTGAGCCAAATGGCTTGGAAATCTATGTCCATCTCTAAAAGCAAAAAGAACTTTTTTTCCTCCCTTGTGCAGATACGACTCCCGTAAATAAAATGACAAACAAAAGGAGCCTTTCTTCCCTTCTTGGAATCATTCAACATTCGTGAAGGTGTGTATGATGCTAACAGTAAACCGTTCAAAATTTGGATAAAGTCACTTTGGATTTTCTGAGAGAAGATTTCATAATGTGAGCTTTGAAAAAAAAACCAAACCCAAATGTCAATATATCAGCCATTTGTGCTAGTTGGCTTTGTTGTTTTCTCATTACATCATCTACAGCAAGAATTGTAATATGTAAACCTTCAACAAGTAGGTTCAGACAAAGGCTGTAATCGATCTCTGATAGGAAACCATTTGTGGATATGTGCTTTGAGACTTAGTAGCACGGGCTTACGTAAATAAACTTATTTTGCATTAGTTTTCTTTCTGAGATAAGCAGTATGTTTACTTACACCTAATACATTTTGGAAGCAAAAGAAAGAATATCTTTGTCCAATTTCTCCTACTTCTTTTCAATCTTAAAATAGCAGCCACTGTTGACAAAAGGAGCTTCTCTAAAGACAACTCGTATTTTCCTTTTCAAGGCAGACAAAAGGTTAATAAATTAAAGCAGCGATGATCTGTTAGTCATTATGGTTTCAACAAAAGAACTGATTGATGTTCGCTCTTTTACTCAACTCATTACCTCTATTTCCGCTCACCTTGGTTTCCCACCTCCTGAGGGTACAGATGTAGTCCCCAATTGGGGAGAGTTCAACCCCCGGTTTGTGGCGGTGGTGGGTGGGGGAGGGTATCTCTAAGGAGATGCAGCCCCAAATGGGAGAGAGTTCAACCCGGGGTCTGTGGTGGGTGGGGGCGTGGGGGTGTCTCTATCCAGGCAGGCTGCATGTTGCAGACCCCGGCCTATGAGAACAGCATTGCTGGGGCTGTCTGGAATACCACCAACACAATCCCACAGGCGGCCTTGCTGGGGGCTTGCGGTAGGCTCTCTCCTCAGGTGAAGTCAAGAAAGCTCAGAAACCTGGAAGGAATTCCCGATCTCCTGGGTATAAACACTGCCTTTCCCTTGAAAATAAAGTTCTGACACGCAGAAAGTCAGGATCAAAGATGTCTTCTAAGCAGTACAGATTTGTAGAAAAAAGGAGACAGTGTCCAGAGGCCTATACAGTGATGAACTTGGCTCTGTTATGTAACCAGCTGATTCGCTCTTCTTGAAATTCTCCTGTTTGGGAGCAGGATTCAGATGCCAATGCAATTTCCTTTCCTTTGCGTTTTATTCGAATAGCAAACTATGGCAGGTAGGATAATCTGTGTCACTGGTATCATGTAACACTCTGTGAACTTGTTCAATGTTTAAATGCACTAAAAAATATAGGAATTATCATTCATCATTGCTCTAGTTTTTACTTCTTACTGAATTTACTCTAACAGTTTAGGATTCTTTTAAGCCAACACACAAAACTGTGCATGTAATATATCTGTGTGTAATGCATGGACTTGAAACGCCTTTTCCACTGTTTCCTAGGTAGTGTCTGCAGATTTTGTACCTCTTAGGATAAAGCCCTTGCTGAAAGTCTGACCTGGTGTGCCACTGGGGCCCATGTCCTGGAACCACCTTCTGGGTAGGGTGTCTTTGCACTTGCGCCATTTACCTTCCTGCAATCGTGGTGAGTACCGGTGAGCCTCATGCTTAGCCATCAGGCACCTACATCTCAATCCTGTTTCTCTAAATTCTGTTGAGATGTGAACCGACTGGTCATGAGCTCGGTGTGACAACAGGGGATTGGACTCCCTCTCTTGGCTTCCACCTCCCTCGTGACCCCAATGTCACCTGCATTTGTATCACCTGCTGGGCCCTCCCTCTTGAATTCCTGACCTGTATATCGGATTCTCTCCCCAGCCTCTCCACTGGGAGGCCTCAAAGGGCCTTTCAATGCAACATCCCAAATTTACCTTTCCCCACGGTTTGCCTTGTCAACCGCCTAGCTGATGAGACCAGAATGCCGCAAGGCCCCCTCATTCAGATGCTGCGTATATCTGCCCATCGCCATACATCTTCCCTGAGTCCCCTTCCACCTCTGCTGCTTCACCACTTTCCATGTTGAGTCCATTTCACTCTGGAGAGTGTGTCTGTGTGTCTTCACTACCCCCACTCTGGTCTGTGCCTGCTCGCTCACGGTCACCTGTCTAGACTCCTGCAATGGCCTTCCCACTGGGCCCACATTTACAGTCTGGTCCCTCCTCCCTATCTGTCCAGCCTCTTCTTGTTATCCTGGGCCTCCCGATCCTCCCTATCTCCAACCTCTCCATTGCCCCTCTCTGATGGTTCCTGCCTGCTGCAGGGCCACAGGGCAGGCTGTTCCCTTTGCTGACGTCCCTCCCCCATGGCGAACTCTTGCTCCTTTGCTCTTAGCCTAAGTGTTATTTGCACAGGGAACCTCCACCT